TAGCAAATTTCGCTAAACCGAGTAAACCGGGAAAGAAATGCGTTTTCGCGATTTATTTAATGCGGTGGAGAGCTGGAAATTTTGCTACTGCGCATGTCTCGTGTTCTGGAACTTGTTTCCGATCCCAAGTCACTATCCTGTAAAAGAAAAATTTAAAATGTCAAAATTGCGAATGATAATTCATAAAAAAATAAACCGAGAAGAATTAATGTCCCTTTTCGCGAAGGAAAAAACAGTCATGGCTTTAAAATCAATTTTCAAGGACCAATTTTATCAATAACAATCTTTCAACACTTTTTTCCACATATTTCAAAACTTTGATGAAAATGTATGCAATGCAGAATTGCATTAAAACAAGCTTTTGGGGAGCGACTTGAGAAAATTCAGGTTGTTATTCTGAATAATTTTTTATAATGAGATTTTTTCAAAATTAATGACGAACAATTTTCCTGCATGACCTGCCTATAATTACTTTTCTTTTCTGACATTTACAGATTTGTATTACTGTTTTAAAAACTAAGTGATCTTCTGAAAACAATTAGCTTCAATAATGCATTCCATCAGTTGCCTCAATCTCTTCATTCTGGTATAGGATGATGTGTGGAACCACTTATTGAAAGAATGTTTGTAATTGATTATACAGCTTCCACTCATTCAACAAGAACTATTAGTCAGTTGCAGTTACAGATGGTACCTTGCAATTCAACCTCCAGCAATTTGACCTATGCCTTGCAATTTGACCCATGGAGAGACATGAAACATCAAATGCCATGTATAGAAAACATGCCATTTGACATTGTCTCACAATTTGACTGCTTTGCAATTTGACCCTAGTCCAGCAACAGATCAGGGTTGAATTGCAAGGTACTACCTGATGTATTGATTTATAAATATTAGACAGTGCCTGCCTTTAGTCAGGAAATCTATATGTGGAGAATGTACTGTATAAAATATTCTGAAAAAAGTTTTTACACAATACTTGAATTGGAAAGCTTGTCACAGAAAAAAGGTTCGAAAATGTGCTCTAGTATGGGCTTTCTGCAAGGACTTATTCAGAAATAGTTTGCTGAAAATTTTGTTGAAATGGTACAGTTGAACCTCTCTAAGTCAAATTTCAAGGGACCAGCAGAAAAAATTTGATTCAGGGAGGTTTTGACTTACAGAGGTTTGAGATACAACACATTGCTCTTTTGTTCTGGGAAGCATAAAATAGCCCAAAATTGTAAATGGTGGTATTCTGGGGCTTGAATTGCTTCTTGAATGATTTGAAAGGATGCTGAACTTGTATAGGCAGGGGTTCCTTTGCTCAATCAAGTCATTTCACTTCCTCTTCAGACGCATCAATTTTTAATTGTATTGCTTTTTTATTTCTTGTGTCAAGATAATCATTGCCAACAGGCCACAGAAAATTTGACTTACAGAGGTTTGAGGGGAAAAGCCTTCAACTTAGGTAGGTTTTTATGTATTGTTTCTAAGGGGATCAAGAAGGGATCTGAAGCAAATTCAACGTTGGAGGGTAATTGACTTAGGGAGGTTTGAATTAACGTCCGCAGTGGGAGGAACGACCAGTAGGATCCTACAGGGGTCTGGGGGGGGAATAATATTGCACCTTGAATTAATTTGCCTACTTGAAAACGCATCAATTAACATTAAGTTGTCAGGATGGCTGAGCAGTCTAAGGCACTGCATTCAGATCACAGTCTGGATCTGCAGGCTTGGGTTCAAATCCCACTACTGCAATGTTTTTTTTTCATTTTTTTCGTTTTTTTGTCTGTACTGCGGACGCTCTACTACTTGTTAAGGTTCACCTGTATTTTATTGTGTTTCAACAAAATTTTACTGTATTTCAAGCAGAATTTATAGAAGATAATTGCTTACGGGAGCGAGTCTGTAAAGTCGAGATTGAGGAATCCAGACACTGGATCCGTCTTCGCGCTCAGCCATTGTTCGTCCGTCCTGAAAATACAGTCTTGTATCATTAATTCTATAACACGTAAAAATTCATTCGCAAATGCATGCAAAAAAAAATTCCGAAGTCCACGAAAATGATTTCAAGTCAGAGAAAAATTGAAACCTCGCTGAAGAATTGCGTCGATTGCGGCCTAGAAGTCGAGTAGTAACTCTCCGGATGACGAGTCATGTTCCTCACCGTCGTCTCGTCGTACGAACGAGCTTCAGACATGGCCCTGAAATTAAATCGAAGAAACATTTTAAATTTAAAACAAACAAAAAAACACCCCATCAACATTTTTCAATTGAATAATATTTAAATATACGAGTAGGGTATATAGCCATCATATGATATTTTTCTAGACAAATCAGGCTTTTTTCCGCTCCCTCATCTCCGTGCAAATGATGACTGAACATTAATTTCAGTATCACTTGACAGAGGTTCTTCATTGCATGACAAGAGATGATGATGATTGGACGATCATTTTTTTTTCAAAACATAAATTTTCAAACAAGGGAAAACAATTACGCATGAATGAGAAAACCTGCAATTCACGACTGAACAAGTACCGAGTTCAAAGTTTTTTTTTTTAAATTAACAAACCTGAACTTTCTGGTCGATTTGCGTCTAGAAGTAAATTTTAAAACTACAATGGAATGCTGATTTTCCAAATATTCTTTTTCACTGTGCTCCAATATGAAATGCTTCATGATAGCTAAAAAAAAAAACAACTCGAGATTTTTCGTTTCAAGATGATGGGTATAGAACAAATCAACGAATTCCACCCTGAAAATGTTTTAGAATATAACCCTGTGACAGCGGGAGGAGAACTGGAAAGTTTTCCCTGATCCAATAGCGAGAAAACGTCCTTTCAAAATCCGAAAAAATCCCAGAACCTTGGAACATAATGAGCTATTGCATGATATTTTTCAATAAATATGTATATATTTTTTTACAATCACACCTAGTCTAAAAATATCGACGATTGCTTCCAACTGGGAAAACCCACGTATAAGATTTTATTTAAAAACAAATTTTTCAATTTACCTGTCACCATAGCCCGAACCCCGGGAATATTCAGATGGTCGTCGCCCCGAGGATTTGCTGCGCACTGCAGAAGTTGCCACCATGATCGAGCCGGCTGCTGCCATCAAAGCTCCTATTAAGAACAACGAGCATGTACCACAGCAATTAATTTGTGCTCTCTGAGCTGATATATATATATTTTTTAATGTAATGTAAATTTTTTTTTCAAAGAGTTAATGAAATAAAAATTGCGTGACGCACCTTCCGAGCCACGACGCATGTCCCTGAATTCTCGGCGTCCACGTCCATGGCTTTCAGCGATTGAAGTGGCAGCTGACCTGGTTGAACCTTTGAAGCTCTTCACACTCTGAGAACAGAAGAAAACATTAAAATATAGTGAGACCCCCACATGTGGACACCTTGACATGCAGACAATTCGACATAGGGACACTTATTTTCCCATAAAAAAAATAGGCTTGACATGAGGACACTGACTAGACACATAGGGATATTTTGTGATAAAATTGTAAATAAGTTTCAGGCCAATTACAAGAAACAGATACTTCCAATCCTAAAATTGAAGTTTTGTTTAATGGTCGATGTTGCTACAAAATATTCTTTGTTGCACAAATGTAGCTTCAATTAAATTTTTAATGGGAGATATGCCTTTTCAATATACAGTATTTTTATGGAAGATGTCGCTGCAATTTATCTTACTTCCAAAGTGCATATTATTTCACTGCATTTTCATGGTAGATGTCGCTTCAATATACAGTATTTAATTGGTAGCTATTGATTCGATATACCGGTATCTTTATGATAGATGTCGCTTTAATGCACCATATTCACTTGAGTACCATTGGAACATTTTTTCTCGAAATTTAGAGAAAAGAAATGTGGTGTGCAGCAATACAGGTGGGAATAAAATGTCCAAAACAATGTTAGAAGCTGAGTTAGACATTTTAATCAGCTGCAATTGGAAATCTCCAGATATTTTCCACGGAAAAGAATAGAATCAGAATAACCCGGGGAAACTTTGATGCATATACAGTAAAGTGTACTGACCTGTGTTCTGCCAGTGTCGAGCATGGTCATCAGGGCTCTTTCCGACACGACGACATCGGCCTCGGGGTCCGGCCCCAGGGACACCATCCGGGACGGCGAGCTGTACTTGGCCCGAGGGATGATGACTGGTGGCATCGTTGTGGTGCCCGGCAGGGACCGGTCCACTTGGTCAAAGCTCCGCCCGCTCGCCACCGACCGCGGTCGCTTGTGGTGGTGCCCCTTGCGCCCCACTGATGATGGCTATATATACATTTGGCCGGAAAAAAAAGAGCAAAGGAGGAATAAAATGTGATAACTCGTTTGAATTAATGCGAAATTTTTCCAAGAAATCTCGCCCCAAACACTCTCAATGTATTGGCATCAAGCTTGAGTGCGTTATTCTCTTCCTCTGACGAATTTTCAAAATGTCTGCGCGTGTCAAAGTCGAATCACACTAGTTCAAGTTGAAAAAAAAATTATAGATGAAAGCTCCAATGAAAGTTGATTTGAATTGCCCCGGTGGGGAAAATGGTGCACACTGGGGATATGTTTGTAATTCCACACAGTGACCCTGCTGATGTGCACCTGAAGTGTACCAAAGTTCTTCATCTGTACATGCATATCCCTAATGTGCACCAATTGTGTGTTCACACCAGGATTACTCAAGGTCACATTTGTGAACAAATAAGTTACACCAAGGTTACAATTGGTGCATTTGTGAGATACTCGTGTTGTGTCATGGCATTTGTGCACCAAATGTAGCCCTTGAATGCTGGTAGCAAAATTTCATCTACAGAGGTGCATGCTTGTAACCCCAGAATAGCCCATGTGCACCAGTTTTAACCCTGGTGTGCACCAGTTGTGGGGTCACACAGAGAATTGCTCCCCACTCGGGTGGGTTAAATCAAGTTTTTAAAATGAACATGATTACAGTACAGTGAAAAGCGGAAAATAAAGCATTCTGTTCATTCATTCATTCATTCATTACAGTATTCCCAGGTGTATAATTCAGTATTTCAAAGAGAAAATGCCCAGGATTATACAGTACTTTTGTTGAGAAGCTCAAAAATTTTCTCAGTGTGCACCTGTGACCTTTTTTTTTAACATACTCAAAAAAAACAATTGATTCAGAATATTAATTACTGAGTACAGGATATGTCAAGAACTATAGTAAACAAACTGAAAAGACAGAACATCTAAATACTTAATACATGCAGATCAAACTTGAAATTTGTTCTAGTAATCTATTTTTAAAATCTTCTTAAAACAAATTATTCAGTAGAACAAATCTTTCTGAAGTCCCTGCGATTTTGATGTAGCATGATTTTACTGCAGTTACTTGCAGAAAACAAATCACAGTACACATGAATGCATAAAAATACCATCATTTCTGATGGATCTAGGACAAAGCAAGATTCAAGACAGAAAATTTGAAACAGGGACAATGATTTGAGATTGAAACTTGGTGAGACATGGACAAATGGAGACAAATAAATTTTGAGAATTTGAGACAGATACATTTTGAAACGTATTGACTTGACCATGATTCTCTCTATTATCTTATGGTTGAAGTGTGAAAATTAACAAAAATTATTGCACTGTTTGGGGAAAAGTCCACAATCCCCGACACAAAGAGGAAAAACAGGTAGTAGTGACAGTTCTCAAAAGGAGTAGTTCCTTTTTGAGGTTAGAAACTTGGTTGGATTCGTCTAAGAAGAGGAGTAATTCTATCAAAAACAGAGTTTAATAGGAACTCTCTAATTGTCCCTGTCTCAAATTGGCACTTTCTCAAATGTTCTGTCTCCATTTGTCCAGTCTCGGAATTGTCTGTCTCGATTTGTCCGTATCCCAGTTTTCGATTGAAAGAATGATCAAAACTTCAGCACGGGTCAATCACTGAGCACAAATAAAAACACTAGGCGATCAGCCTGTTCCCAGATGCATTCTTCAACTGATTGAACGATTTAGAAAGAGTCTTCGAGGATAAATCATGAATAATTTAGACAAATTTTCACGAATTCACGCGTTCGATAGAAAATAAGCGTCAAGTTTGGTAATACTCTATACTTGTTCTTTTCTCACCGCTAAAGCTTCGTGCAAGGTTGGGAAGCTGCGCTGATCCGAGCTCTCGCTGGAAGTGTCGCCGGCGCCGATCATGGCGCGGCGGTCCGTGGCACGCCGGCGTCCGGGCCCGGCGCCGTACAAATAGCCGCCTTCTTGGTTCCGCGTGGCGCTCTTTCGGCGCAGGCAGAACACCATGGTTGCCAAACACAGTCCTAGTGCCAGCAGGGACCCGATCGTCACCAGCACAATTAGCAAAACTGCAACAACAAAAAAGGAGAACAAAAATGTGAACAAATACCGTACTGTATACTTTATTTGCATACAGGGCTTTATTGACGAAAAAAAAAATCAGACACTTATTTTTCCTACTCTCAACGTCTGAACTTCCCTGAGCACGTCATGAAGATAATTCGGAGATCATATATAGATGTCGCCTGAATTTATTGCTACACTCTTTTCGCAATTAATTCAAATTTTGTTGGGAAATCACTACAATTTCTTGTCAATCAAGCAGGTTTTACGCGCCGTTCTCAACGGATCAAACAAGGCGTTTGAAATTCATCATTACAAAACCTTTTCATGATGATTTCGCGAAATTCTGTACAGAAGTCAATCTTTCGAAATAAGATCACAGGAGACTAAGATTGACGGATGAGGTGGGCATACATTTGAAAATATTTTTTTTTGGAATAAATTCGAATTTTCACCTCAACGTAAGACATAATTTAATTGTTCGCAGGTGTCGCCTTCATATACGAATACCACACGATTAACAAAAAGCTAGAAGAGCTGCAGTGTTTCAACAAAAAAAAATTCGATGCTAGCGACACCTATGAACGAGCACGGAAAACGGAGGGAGCAGGTGATGCGCGAATGACCCGCATCACCTGATCATTCTATGAGGAAAAAAAATGATTAAATTTCGAAAACATTGAGCGCGCGGGTCGTGGACTCGAAAACACACTCAAAATAGTTTTCTTTCTTCTTCTCAAGAACCTGCGGAATTATGCCTTTCGTAATCGGAAGATATAAATGGTTACCTTTCATATTCAGTTGGCACCTGTCACCGGAATACCATTTCAGAAAACACACTCAAAATAGTTTTCTTTCTTCTTCTCAAGAACCTGCGGAATTATGCCTTTCGTAATCGGAAGATATAAATGGTTACCTTTCATATTCAGTTGGCACCTGTCACCGGAATACCATTTCTGACACTTGCAAGCACTGCTTCCGTCTTCTTTCGTGTAACACTCCCCGTGGTAATTGCAATGCCCGCAGCTAGAAGAAGCAGCTGAAAAACGGAAACAAACCCAATTTTTTTTCAAATCAGTTTCTTATCTCATACTTCAAATGATACAGAGTCGAACCTCTTTTAAAGCCGAATTTCAACGGACCCGCATAAAAAAAAAGCGAGCTTCAGAAGACGAACAGTTTTATTGTGAGAAAGATAGGAATATTGCAGGAAATTTTAAATGGGGATATTCTAGGCTTTAAATTGCTCATAAAATGAGTTGACACGATGCTGATCTCGGAAACAAGAAATAATTTGCCCAATTAGTCTTTCACTTCCTTTCAAAACGCATCAAGTTGATTTTTCCCTTTTTCCCTTGTCAAGAAAGCAATACTCAAAAGAGCCTCAGGAAATTCGAGTCACGGAGGTTTCAGTCGAAAAGCCTTCGACTTAGAATAGGAAAGCATTGTTTCTATAGGTGAATTCAGACGGGACTTGAAAACAACAAAATTCGACTTCGACCGGATTTCTATATAGTTGTCGTTGTCGAGGATCAACTGCCATTGATTTCAGATTTCAAAGCATTTCGGCAGATCCACTCACATGAACATATTCTGCCTGGTCGTGAATCAGCGATGTCGGACAAGTCCTGATAGCCACTCTTACAGGCACAGGTGAATGTTCCGGCTCGGTTAATGCACATTGCGAATTCCGAGCAATCGTGGAATTCCTCGCTCGAACATTCATCGAAATCTGAAATGGGGAAAAATAATATACTGCACATACTATTCAAGAATGCATTACATTCCTCATCGTAATAAATTATTAAAAAAAAACTTTCTTCTCTTCCTCTATTATATAGGTTAGGATTTCGAATACCTGTAATTTGATGTGAACAATGATTTGTCACAAGATTTTCTACTTGCATATTTCAAACGTGATATTGATGAGTCTCGGGACTCAGGTATTGAAATAATAAACTATACCTTCCGCGTAGAAAGAATCCATGTAACTTGGGGAAGTCAGCAGAGCAGTTCCACCCACGCTGAAATTCGTGCTCTTGACACTCTGTCGCAGGTTATTCATCAAGGATCCTTCGTCAGGGTTCATATCCGGAGAGATCTTCGAAAAAAACACGAAAATGAACATTTCCAAATTTCCCTCGTTTAAAAAAAAAACAATTAAGAAAGCGGAAAGGAGAGAGAATACCACAGCGGAAAAAATTTTAGAATATCATTCATCCATTCTATTTCCTTCATTTTCGAAATTGATTTTATTTTCTTTAGCCAAGAATTTAATATTGTACGCTATTCTTTTCGGATAGCATTCATTCAGAAAGCTTCATGTATTTTCCTTCATCAGTGACACTTATTTCATTTTACTTTTTCAAACATGCTGCAGGAAAAAAATTCGTCACTCCGTCAAGAATCAAATACTGTATTATTTTCAAATATACTGTACAGTACAGTACTTCATTCAGAGAGCTTTATTTTTTCGATTGTGATCAGTGAAATTTATTTCATTTTCTTTTTTTTAAATTGCTGCAGAAGAAAAAAAAAACTTCGCGACGGAGTCAAGAATCAAATACAGTAAAATATCGGTAAAAGGAACTCCAAGGGACTTGATAAAAATTTGCCGTAACAAAAATACAGTATTTGAATAATTCCGTAATATCATTCATTCAGAAAGCTTTTATCCATTTATTGTGATCAGCGAAATTTATTTTTAATTTTTTCCGTTTCACAAAACTGACTCACCCTGGCGATGATTTCAACCATGACCCCGAGGTCCGGGTTTTTCCCTGGGGCCACGAATCTCTGAAAGCCGGTGATTTCGGATCCATGATAAGCGTCTCCGAGTCCGGATCGCTTCAGGGCCTTGTCCACAGCATCCTTGGTCATGAACTCGAGTTGGCCGAATTCCGGGGTCGAGTCGTCCAAAAATTCCTCCCTGAATTCCAGGGCCCTCGTGTGCACGTGGTCAATCGGCAAAGTGATTCTATACGACCTCGTTTCTGCACACGGTTTTTTTTTATTTGTTTTTCAGGGAGAATACAACAAAGAGACATTCGTCAGCGACGGAGTTTTGAAAAAACAAAATGCATCACGGAAGAATAAAAGTCGACAAGCGAATTTTACGTCAGCATTCTCGAAAATAATTCGACTTGCCTTTGCAACGGGAAGATGTTTGTTGTCTCGCAAAACCCGGTTTGCAGACGCATTGCCAAGTGCCGCGCTTCTTCTGGCAAACTTCGTTGTTTTTCAGCGAACAACTCGGCTTGCATTCCGCAGCGATAATCGGCACTTCCACACTCAGTCCTTGCTCTGGCACGAACCCGGCAATCACTCGGTTGATTTCATTCGTTTCCTCGACGCCTGCAGCAATTCAATCAATTCAATGAGATTAATAAATCGAATCAATTAAATCGTCCCGCAATATTTCTTTTCCGCTGCGTGGAACGTACTGAAGTAAATCGGCATCAGCAATTTTCAGAGATATTTTGAACGAAGATGACGCAAGAGAGGAATTTTCAAATTCGAATGATGCATTGGAAAACAATTTTGATTAAAAAACATTTACCGCGACTTTCAAACGCGAAGATGAACAGTGAAAAATGAACAATCAATGGAATATTGAAATAAATCTGCACCAATTCTCAGAAATATTTTAAATGATGACGATGATGCAGGAATTTTTTTTCCGTTCTAATGATAAACTGGAAAATAATTCTGATTTTTAAAAGTCGACCGAGACTTTCAAAAGCAATAATATAAACAGTGGAACATGATCAATGAAGTGAATATTAAAATAAATCGGCATCCATTTTCAGGTGTAATTTAAATGAAGACGGAGAAGGAATTTTTTTCAATTCGAGAGATACACTACCTTGGAAAATGATTCAGATGATTAAAAAAATAACCGAGACTTTCATCAGAAGAAAAGCCGAACAGTAAAAAATGATCAATGAAAATCTGAGGAATATTGACCTTGGCATCAGACATGATGATTGATATTGAATTTTCAAAATGCATGTGTGAAGCAATATGCCACATGCCTGTCTTCTTTCTTTCTTTACGACGAGACAGTGTTTTATCAAATTTATTCGCATCTACACAATTTCAGAAAAAGAAGAAAAATATTTCAGCTCGGTACTTCTGTATAAAAAATTTCACGCTTCATAAAGATGCCAAAAAAGGAATGAATGAGTTCTTTAGTCGTGAAAATACGCATTAATTGCATGATTTTCATTAAAATACCAATATTCATCATCTCCAAAAGAGCAGAACCCAGTCGATGAAAAGCTCCAAAAATGGCCGGCTTTTTTTAGGGGGGTTGCGGGGATGAGGCGCCGAACATGATTTCGAAAAATGGAATTTTCTGCAAACCTTTGTTAACTTCATTGTCGATTCCTTCTTCTTCCGAGTCACTAGGGACACTGACTGGCAATGACGGGGTTGTCGGTGACGTGGTTGCTGCGGGTTTCGGCTTTGTTGCCAATGTTGAGCTGCTCTTGAGTTTCGGACTAACGTTGATGACTGATCCTGTCCTTGTCGCAGCAACAGTGGAAACCTTTATGGAAACTGGACAAATGGTTGAGCAAAAAAAAAGAAGAAAAAATACAAACGCAGTATGAGAATTGAGTCATAAATGCTGAAAAAGACCGTGAGAATTGAGCTGGAATGTTTCTAGCAGAACTTTCAAAATTAGATGCTAACTGTACAAAACAAAAGTTCACAGGTTTTCAAATTTGTGTAAAAAAAGCATTCAACATAAGAACAAGTATTTCATAATTCCCTGTTCTTAATTTTGTATCACGTGTCATTGTGAAAGGAAAATTGCAAAAGTAATGCAAAAAAGTATTTCAGGGATAATTTTACTGACACATGAAATGCACAAGATTTTTTTATAATACAGTACCGCATTGTGTGAAGTACCACTCAGTTAAATTGTTTTTCAAAAATTGCCAGAAAAGAGTGTGTGTAGGATAAAAATGTAAACTTTGAAAGGAATTCATTTCAAGGAATTGGGAATTGTAAAATAAAAATTTGAAGTAAATACACCTGGACCTCATTGAACAATGATGCTTCAAGGGAGAGAAAACTTCCAAAACAAAAACTAGTTTAACTGACATTTTGCCTCAGGAAAAAAAATTTTACTTGAGGAAAATCACAAGTCGAGAAGATGAATACTTAAATATTTTAAATGAAAAATCAAATAATTTAGTCAATTTCACTTGTTCATGAGAGCATCTTCCAAAATTGAAACCTCACATAGAAATTCAAAGATAAATCAATTTTCAAGGAAAATCATAATTCCTTTTGTTACATATGTTGATCAAGGTCCCTCTGTTGTTTGACACTAGGGCACATGATACAAGGGTGGGCATAATTTTAGGGACATATGTCCATGTAACACACTATTCTATTGCTGTAAGTATGACAAAGCATTAGTGATCATATCACTATATATCTTAAATAAGCAAGATTGTCTTGTCATCCCCAAGAAGCAGCCCAAAACCAAGTCACTTCTACCAACTTTGTTCAGTAGATGAGGTGGTCAAAAGGTTAACTTCAGTCTTGCTCCCAATGACAGTAGTGACCACAGTCTGGGGAGGTAAAGTTGTAGTCACAACTTGACAGAATCACTTACCAGAGGGAACATACACCTTTTACGACCAGAGACATCGTCAGTTACAGGACCATTGTCAGAGTCAGGACCACTCTATGAACCAGAGACCGACCACTCAGTGACCCGAAAGAAGTATGTACCCAATGATGACTGGTGGAGTGGCTGATGAAGATGACTCCAGTTCAGTGGTTGATTTGGGACCACTATCAGACACTGCTGTGGTGGTTGGAGGAGCAGCTGGTGTGCTGGAAGAAGCAGTGGTACTACTACTAGCACCATCACCACCACTAGTGGTTCCTCCTGCATCTTTTGTTGTAGGTCTAGTTGCAGGTGTGGTAGTGAGTCTGGTACTGGGCAGCAGAGTTGGTCTAATGACAGGCTTGTTGTGACTGGGTGCAGGCACGAAAGGACGGGACCACCCGCACAGTATGCCGGACCCCAGCTTGACGCCAAACAACACCGAGCCCCCGCCCTGCATGCCACCCGCACCGAGCTCCACGACCGACCCGTCGCCGGCAGCCGATCCCCCGCCGTGCAAATTCAGCCGCTTGTTCTCGTCCGTTGCCCCAGGTGTCGCTGTTGGCTTCGGCCGCGTTGGAGGTGACACGTAGTCTGGTTTAGTTGGCGGTTTGGCCGCTGTGGGTCGTTGCTGCACTGATCCGGATGACGTGGAGGATCTTGGTGGTTTCGCAGTGGGTTTCGCGGTCGTTGGTAATTCTGGAGCCGTCAGTATCAGTATTATCATGTTCAGAAGCAGACACACTCATATTATACTTACGCTATAGCAACGATGTTTTGGCTCAGAAGCGTTATCAGTGCATGCGCAGTCAGGTGCTTTTACTACTCTAATTGTACGGATATTCATTTGAGTCTCTATAAACGGTCAGTCATTTTATAATTCGAAGCGATCTTTTGCGAATCGCAAGTCACTGGTTTAGAAAAACAAAACCATCGAGATTTATTCCACGGTTTTTTTTTTTTTTACTTTTGAATACTTGTACAAATGGCGGGAAATTTTCATCGGAGATCATAAATTATATGCGTGCTATTTCGATTTAAATAAAATTTGTGAATTACAAACATGCCGTAAACAAAAGCTATCTTCATAATAAATATGTAATTTACAGCCAAACGGTCCCCAAAATTTTTTTCCGCTGTTGAGCAAGTGATGATTTAAAATTTTCTAGTAAATTTTTGGGTCTCGAACAATAGACAGAAATAAATCTTCAGATACACATTATAGGCTCGTCGAACAGTGCACGAATTCATAAAATCATCTCCACTCTGACATTATGAATAATTTACTATTATAGAGCATCAACAAAGTTCTAAATTTTGATCCGTTCAACTGATCTGAATTATAAAAATATTTCGCTTGCATTTTAAATGGTAAGAAAATGTTCAAGTTCATCTGCAATACGCTGCACTGGAATTTTCTTCATCAGCGTTGAAAAATCTTGATGAATAATTTAAAATTTTGTTTTAGAAAAAAATGAACCTTTCCTTTTAGTTGTGGCATCAGAAGCTAATCTCTGATCCTCAAGAAATACAGTTATAAGTGATCGGCAGAAACATTCGTGAATACTGTAAATCGATTTTTTTTGCTTTGACAACAGAAGTTAATCTGCGATCTTCATAAAATGAATTCTTCAATTTTTACAAGGCGAGAAAAAATTCACCCCTCTAAAATTGTATCATGAGATTCATGACACAGTAGAAAGTCAAGCTGTCGCACAAATTTCCCCACATTCGAAACTTATACCTTCAGTCAAATATTTTCTTTCGACACGCATACATTACTATGAACAAAAACTATAACCAAAACGAATACAATCCATTCAAAATAACTCAAATTAATTCTCGGTTCTTAGACCTGCTGAGGTAGAAGCAAAATTCCCACATGACCAAACTCTTCGAATGTTTACTTCCCTTCTTGATTTTTTCAGATGTGTAAAATTCGGAATGAAGCATTCTAGTAAAATACAGTAGTTTCATTGCATGAGAAGCATCATTGACTATATGCTGAAGCATAGAAGCACGTTTGATGGAAGCAGCACACAGCCCAGTATTTAATTACATGTATATATATAAGCCAAGCATAACTCAAGAATGTATTTCAAAATTTGCTTACCTTTGGTGACCTGATCAATGAGCAGAGGAAGACCCTCATCACGCTGACTGATTGTAGCTGGAGAAGCTGGTTTCGGGTCAGCTGAGGTTTCCTGACCAGGCCTGGGTCCATTCAAGGCAGTGAATCTGTCCCTGGCATCATCTTGCACTTTGCTGCTTTGAATTTCGAACGCCGGTCTCTGCTGAACCTTATTACCAGGACTTTGGTTGATAACATTGGCAACAGACACAGTGGGCGTGGCCTGAGTCGTAGGCGGAGCTGTGTAAGTTATCCTCGACTCGTCTCCGCCCTCCGCGTCATATTCTTCTCCGTTGCGCAGAATGTTCGTGGCGACGATCCTGTTGCCAGAGCCCAGAGACAAAATGGTTTGCACGGCTGGCCATTGTATGTTGGGTTGCTGAGGTAGGGCCAGGGTTTGGCCCTGGGGCTGCACAGAGGACCAGCCAAACTGCTGGGGCCCGATTTGAGACGGACTCGGCTTCGAACGCGGGTTGTTATTCGGCAGTTTGGCGATGATAGGAGTGCCATCTGGATCTCGGACTAGAGGTGGGAGCGGTCTGCCGTCAGAGCCTTCGCTCGCAGGTGGCAGCACTGGTCCATTCGGCAGCCGCTGCAGGAAAGAAAGCAAAGATACAGTCTCTTGACTCTTGAGAACAAACACAAAACGATCTTCCCTTTCTTGGCAGAACCCATGTTAATAAAATACAAATAAAAAGAAAGAGGTTCAGTTTCGACTCTTCAATATTGAAAAACTATTTCGCCTTTTTATTTTTACAAAATCCCTACCAAGATTTTTTCCAAGTAGCTAAACACCTATAATGAATACTTCCAATTTGAAAAATTTTACAGAGAGCAGCTTTAGGACTGAAATTTGGACTGCAATGGATATCTTCCTGTATTTCAAAAATTCAAATTTATGATCCTAAAGCTTGATAATTGCTGCGTGTAGGAATTGATTGACATAATGGTATATTCACAGCAGCTGGAACTGAAATTTCAATACTCATTTCCTTCATTTTTTTCAGATGGAAAACACATTATGCTGACTAATTAAGAGTATACAGTACTGGGTGGGTAGTTGTGTATCAGATGCAATTTTCATTAAAATGACAAGAACTATACAAGTGCTGGATTCACATCATAAACATTAATAAAAGGGGATCATGGGAATTCTCCATTTTCTGAACAAAAAAGGATAATACTGTATCATGGTCATATATTTTTAGTACTTTTCCTTCCAAGTTTTGCATGAATTGTACCAATACTTTTTCCACCAGGATTCTCTTTTAACTGAACAGAAACCTACAACATTTGATTCTCCAGCAAGATGTTACTGAAAAAATTTAGAAACTTTTGAGAAGTGTATTGGTGAACCAAATTATGTTTTGCTAGCCTGTCTTAGAAAAGCCAAGCCTTTGTAACATTCTGTAAAACTTTATTTTTTCCTGAATAATAATTATTTTGAAGTTAATCTCTTTGAAATTGTGCCTGAGGGCCTTTGCTGACCATCAAAGAGTCTTGAAATGACATAAATTGCAGATATGAAAAAAAGATTCCTAATTCATGATCTTTTTACCTGCTTGGTCTTTTGAGAAGGAGGTGGTGGTGGTGTTCTTGGTGGTTGCAACCTGGGAAGAGAAATCTTTGGTGGTTGCCTTTCCTTGAAAAATGGGTTAGCAGGTCTGGGTCTTTGTGCTGGTGGTGGTTGCTGAGGCCGCAGTTGTTCAACAGTAGGTGTCACAACAGTGGGATCCCTCTGGGTGTCAGCAGCAGGGATTGGGCCATTTTTCTCAGCAGACTCAGCGTTGTCTTGTGCAGGCTTGGACACAAACACAGTCTCCTGGCCAGAAATCACAGACACCCTGGAGGGAGCCAATGATGGTGCCTGAACCTCAGTCAGCAGTGGACCAGATGGCGCAAAGGGTTTATTGTTGGTCTCCAGCTTGCTGGAAGAGCTGGAGGATGGTGGTCCTGGGAATTGTGGGAACTGAGACACGGGAAGTTGGAATCCTGGAGCCCTGTTTTGCTGCGGGTTCACATTCGGAGGTCTGCGTTCGAACCCATTATTATTGATTCGTTCTTGCTCTTGATTCAAATCTGGGGTCCCAATGACCAGGTTTGGGTCACTTTCTGGTCGCGCAACAAGAACCTGTAATAATAAGCAGTACATTTTAGCCAGTTATAGACCGAGATTCTGGTGAAAGTCGAAATGAATTTGCATAAATTGGGATGAATAAATGAATATTGAGGTTTGGAATTACTGTAATTCCTTGCCTGTGTTTGCAAGCAACTGACGACTATACAGTTATTTTATTTATTGAAAATATTCCTCGAACAACTTGACAAAAATATTCTTCATACCTCAAAAACAATTTCTTCAGGATACTTTAATCCTCACATTAAAAAAAGCTGCAAAAAGTCCTCCAGAAATCCAATGAAAATACGCTTCTCAATTTTAAAGCGTAAAAAAAAAACTGTGCAGCGGAAAATCGCGCATAATTTGTGCTTTTGACATGAAAAAGTTAAAAATGCAAAAAGGAGCACATGGGATCGTTAAAGAAAATAAACGAGATTAAACATATAAACTTATCTCAGCTTTGTGCCCACAATAAACAGCAGCTCGATCTTTTAATATATTATTAAATGTATTCAAAAATTTTGAAACATAATATATTTTCTTACTTGGAAATTTCAAAAGATTTGAGAAATAATCGTCGAGATGTCGGTTAAAAAAAAAGAGAAGCACACAATTCGGCGTTTCGAAAAATAAATGAGATAACATTTATGATGAGATTTATTTTGACTTGACGCCCACAACAGTAGCTAACTTTTTCTCAGAAATATATTTTAACATTTTGAAAAATATATTTTCTTTCTCTGGAACTTTTCAAAGGTATTGGGAAAAAATTGTCGAGACGTCGGTCAAATATTTCGAGTAAAAAGTGTTCGTAAGTTGAAATGTTTGCGTACATGTCGTTGCCTCATTGAATCTCATTACATGCAAAACATCGTTGAAAAACTGTTGAAAAAAATAAAGTACCGTCTTTCGCAAAAATTATAGAAGAATAATCAACAAACACAAACCTGTCCTGGTGAGATTGCGACACCAGAACCCCTGAGCACCGGCAATTTCTGACCCGGCCTCTGGGGTAAGTTGTCAAATTCCACAGGTTCCTGCCTTCTTTCCCATTCCGGACGATCAATTCGCACTTGTTGATTGTTTACAAATGGCCTGCCTTGTTGCTGATGCTCGAAAAATGGACGTTGTTGTTGTTGTTGTTGTTGTTGTTGTTGTTGTTGTTGGTGTTGTTGTTGTTGTCTGCGTGGGAAGTGCTGTTGAGGAAAGTCTCTCGGAGGAAATTCCTGCCCGTTATTGTTCTCAACTGCTGCTGGTCGCTGCCGCTTGGGTTGATTCCCGTTTCCTCTCAATGGAATAAACGATGGCTGACTCGCGTCCACCTGGATTCAGGATTAGAATATAAATTATACTGTATTGCCAATACACAAAATTATCTTTGGTCACTCGATACGCTATATCTATAAATAGTTAGTATATAATTCTTTAAACAGTATTTTCAGAGCCGAAGTCCATAAATTGAATGCAGGTAAAAATTCCTACAACAGCTTTCATGGTCTCCATCTGTTTTTGTAAAACGGATGGACTTCTTTTTTAATTTTTAAGGATTATGAATTTATTGTTCAGGGAGATCATTTTATCTTATATCCACGCGTAATTGTGACAATTGCAAACATTTTTAAGCATGTCTATATCCATTCTAAAATCTACCATTTTCACATTGGATGAATGAATGACTGAACAGAACACTTTATTTGCCGCTTTTCAGCATTCACAAGGTTCTTTCAACAGACTTCAGGTGAGGATTTCACATCATCATCATCATCATGGGAAAAAATGAATGAACATCATTTTTTTGTTTCTGGGATTTTCAACTTTGAAAATTTAATCGCAGTTTCACTCTCAATCATATAAAGCCAACAGTTTATCTTGATCCTTTAAGATTTCAGAAACCCCCGGTGGTGTTTGGATTAAACATTGGATTGGATTAAAATGAAAATTTATGAAATAGATGATCTCTCTTTTCAATGCGAGAGAGTGAAACTGCGATTAAATTTTCAAAGTTGAAAATCCCAGAAACAAAAAAATGATGTTCATTCATTTTTTCCCATGATGATGATGATGATGTGAAATCCTCACCTGAAGTCTGTTGAAAGAACCCTGCTGATTGAACGGGCCAGGTGGCTCTTGGAAGAAGGCATTTGCATGCGGCTGTCCATTACCACCAGCCACGCTTCCAACGGGGATATATTTATTCTGACCCGAAGCCCCGGGTTTCGGCGCTTGCATAATCCGATCGGGCTGCTGGGGATCCCTTTTATTCTGGTCCGGGGCATTATGCGTCAACGACGAGTCATTCCGTCTTGCGAACGGGTTCGCAGGGATCCCTCCCCTAAACAACTTGGAGACCGAGTCGAAAATCGGGCTAAAGTCCAGTCCACTCACTGCCTGGGCACCAGCGTTGCCAGCTGCCAACGCACCCGCGAGTGCCCCGAGATTCACCAGCCTGGTGCCCAGGGTGCTGATGAGACTGCCTCCATTATTCGTGGAAGTGCTGCTGCTGCTGCTAAACGACGGTCTCGTATTTGTTCCGGAATTCGGTCTGTCAGCTGCAATCAGGGACGACACCGACGACAAATCCCCGTTACTCGTCAGTTGGAACTCGTCAACGGACTGAAGGAGGTCCGCTTTTTGTGGCCCTGATGACGAGGCCTTTGAGGACTGATGGTTATTATTCGACGAAGCAGAAGCGATGGGTTTCTTCTCCATGTCGATCACACTGGGGATGGGGAACCCGACTATGGACCCGTTGCCACGGTCCAGAACCACCAGGGGTTGCCCTGAAGAATATTCTGTGACCTTCCCATCGGGACCCGGGATAGTGGTGTCTACTGTAGCTGTCATGGTGACCTTGCTGGTGCCTCCAGCCTTGTTAAACAACTGCGACAACTGATCGCCGACTGTGCTGTCCTGCTTATTATTACTAGCAGGGTATCCCTTGGAGAAATAGATGATGGTTGACCCGGACACCACTGTGGGCTTGGAAGGTGCCACTAACGCAGGCACTGTTGCTTCTGATGAAGATGATGATGCACTGCTGGCAACATTGACCTCAACTCTGGATGGCACTGGTGGTGCAACAGCAGCAGGATTGGTCTTGGGAGGTGGAGGAGGAGAGTCCACAACCGTGACATCTGGTGGGATGCTGGATGCAGTGATGGTGGATGTCACAGTGTTTTCTTGGACTTGGTTCACTGTCTCTAGGAAGCCATCATCACCAGTCACCACAGTGGCATAAGTGGCAAACACTGTCCTCAGTTGGGCATAGAGGTTTGGTCCAATCCTGTAGTATGTAGACACTGGACTCTTTTCCCTGGATGATGACTCTTTGACCACAGCAGAGGCCTGGACAGGAGGCACATTTGCAACATCATCATCATCCTTGAGCATGTTCAGGATGCTTTGGTCCTTGATGGATGACAGTGGCTCCACCACAATGGATGATGACACTTCTACATTGGATGTCACTGTGGTTGAGTCACCAAACTGGATGGTTGACAAGTAAGTGTAGGACACATAGTAGGTTCTGGTGGCCATCAGGTCCCCAACTGGACCATCAGCTGCATCAAAGTCATCAGAGGGGGCCAGGGCATCTGAGGCAGAACTCAAGGCATTGTTGATGTTGAAGATGGGTGATGCCACTTCCAAGGGCTCCTTGATGACCTCAGACTTGATGACAATGTCTGAGTTGATGACTATCTTCTCTCCAACCAATGCAGTTGTCATGTAGGTGAATGTGGTGAAGTAGGTCTTGGTGATCTCTGGGCCTTCAGTCACACTAGAGTCCAGGGCATTCAGGTCCTGTTCAGAGTCACCAGGAAGGACAGTGGCTTGGATCTCAGTATCCTCCAACACATGGGTCACCACAACCTGGGTGATGACTTCCTCAGTTGACAATACCTTCTCTTCTTCACCCTCATTGATGGTTTTGTAGAACACATAGGTATTGTAATAGGTCTTGGTCTCAAACCTCTTTGCATCCTCAATGGGTCCAGTGTTTATAACAGTGTCCTTTGGCACAGTTGCAACATTAGACACCACTTCTTCTGAACTCAGGACCAAGGGTTTGTCACCATAATACAGGGTATTGTAATAGGTAAACTTGGTGACCTGGGTCTTGGTTTCAAATGCCAAATCCGCGTTTTCACTGGCCAATGTCACTTCCGCTGAGTTCTGAGAAGTTCCAAAAACCACATCTGCTTCTTGGGTCACCACATTGGAGATCACCTTGGTACTCTGGATGGACTCATCTGGGTTGCCAGGTTGTGGAGTGAAGTAGAATGTGACAGTAGTGTAATAGGTCTTGGTCACAAACTCAGGCTTGGCAGACCTCAGGAAATTGGCAAACTGAAACAAAAATAAAGATACATTATACTGCAGTATGAAAATTAAATGAACTTTTCCTGTGAACTTTGTAATAGGTTCTGGTCTCAACATCACAATAGCCAGACCTTGGGAAGCTGGCAAACTGGAGCAAAAATGAAAATACATCATAATGTAAAAATTTAATTAATTTCTGACTTAATATTTTGTACAGTAATATGTCTTGGACACAAAGTCAGGCTTGCCAAAACTCAGGAAGTTGGCAAACTGAAGCAAAAATGAAAATGCAATATGGCATAAAAGTAAATCAACTTTTTCCATGAACTTTTTTTTAAATATGTCTTGGTCACAAACTCAGGGTTGGCAGACCTCAAGAAGTTGGAAAACTGAGGTATAAAAATGAAAATACATAACAGCATGAAAATTGAAGAACATTCTGCCATTAGAATAAAACAGTGGCATCTCTACGTATGTATACAACATAACACCATAATGAGTGAACATATTTTGCTCTCATGCATGCTTTAACGTTGGGCTTGCTTTTCGTTTATGAAGTGCATATGTTTTTAAACACAAAATTGAAATTTCAAACGTTTATATTTTTAGTTGTATAGTTTGAGGTACAGTATTTTTATGCTGGCTGGTGGTTTTCACAAGGGAATTCTATAGTTTGAGACTCCATTGTATAATATTTTTACTCTTGCATGGAGGACACAATTGCAAAAAATCTCACCTGATCGTTTTTTGTTGGCAAACCCAGGAAAATCCTGTCCATCACAGTTGTTGGTTCGATCTCATACTTCTCTTCATTTTTGTCTGCATGGAAATAATTTCAATAAATGACAATCGCTTTTTTTCATTGACTCAAACATTTTTTACAATTGCAAAAATACATAAATAAAGATGTCATAGGATTGTATACCCACCAACTACCAAGACTTCGACTCCATTCCGGAAGATTTTCGTTTTCACAGTGACTCGTTCCAAGTCCTCTTTGCCAATTGATCTTCCTCTGGGCACTAGAAAAAAAATAGAAAAAATATAAGTCACTCACGGTAAGATAAAATCATAACAACCGAGAGGTAAAAAATTTGCGTTTCAAAAAGAATGAAGATGGCAAAAAAAAATCGGCAGAAAACTCACCTCCATTTGCAGTGAGGCCGAGGGAGCTTTCCAGGATAATCCCCGCTGTGGACAAAAATGGCAAAAAAAAACATTCTCATAAAAATATTCATAAAATAGACGACAGTTGCTTCATTTTAGACACAGTTAGTAAATAACCAACCTTCTAATCAAACAAGCACAAATGCTTCACAACAACCAACCAAAACGCAAATCCAGGTACATACACAAAATATATTGGGAAATAATTTCGGCATAAGTACAGTATACTGCAAATGCAAGATCTACTGGATATATACTGATACATCATTATCAAGGACTATATGAGTTTCACATCAAGTACCACTGCAACCATGATGTTCACATTTTTACCAGGTACACCTACTGAGGAATAAAAAAAATGAAACTTTTCCAAAACCCCTCTCATTAATAGCACACAAAACAAAAAAAAAACCATGCAAAAATCGCATCATGCAGAAACAGCAGCATCCATATAGAAAAAAGCATGCCAAATAAATAAATAAATAAAAAGTTACAGGAAGAAGAAGAGAGCAAAATATACCTTTGATGGGAGGTAGAATATCTACCAGGGTCTTAACAGCAGTCTGCACAGTGGTGGTATACTCCGTGGTGACTTGGATATCATCCCCAGCCTTCCTGGTGATGACTATGGAGTTGGTGACCACTCTTCTCTCTAAAAAGGGCTGGAACTTGTAGACTGGGCCAGGTTCAAAAGAAGGTTCAATACTGGTATCCAAAGCAGGGATGCCATTGGTGTCCACCCCGCCTGGTTTGCTGATTGGGAATGCAGTGACCTGTGATGCCAGGATCAAAGAGCTGAGCTCCTGGGAGTTGACAGTCCTCAGACTGGAAGTGGTGATCACTTTGTCCTTGTCATCATCCCTGATGCTTGTGGTGTAAGTGTGCCAAATGATGGTGGATGATGGACCACTGCTGGACTTGGCACTTTTGGGGAACACTGAGGAGGGTTTGAACTTGCTTGGCCTAGTGCTGCTGCTCAGTTTTTGCTTACTGATGGTCAGTGCATTGGGTTTCAGGACATGGTTCTCTGGTAGTTTCCTTTGTCTGGTCAAAGTTGGTCTCACAGACACCAAGGTACTACTTGATGGTTTGAAAAAGGTCCTGGTTCTAGTGGGAGAAATGATTTTTCTTTCTTCTTGAAGAGGTGCTGCATCAGCAGCAGCTTGTTCAGTCACTGTCTCATTCTCTTCAGAAGGCTGTTCAGGGATGTTCACAGGGGTTTCTTCTGAGGTTGGTTTCACTTGAGGTCTGGTGAAGAGCCTCTGTCTGCTGCTCCTGATCCTCTCAGATCTCTTCAAGGTGTTTTCTACTGCAGGTTTTGATTTTGCAGGCTCTGATGGTTTCACCTTGGCAATTTTAGACTCCTTCACCACTGTCTGTGTCAGTTGTTTCCTGCGAGAGTTGCTGAACTTGGAGCCCTTGTTGCGGATGAGGTTATCCAATGGTGTTCTTTGCCTGCTGGAGGATGGTGCTTTGGGAGTTGAAGTTGGTTCTGTGGGTCTCACAGGTGCTTCTGTTTCTGGTGACATTGACTCTGTGGACCTTTCCCTGGTTGAAGAGGTGATTTCATCAGGAACCTTTTCCTCATCTTGGACTTGTTGTTCACTCTGTTGGATAGGCAGGTTGATGACTGTGGATGAAGCCAAGTTGATTTCTGTGGTCACTCCATTGTTGACCCTCTCACCCAAGGGCACAATGACACTGCCTTTGTGCACCAACACTTTCTGGGATCCCTGGGTGTCTGTTTTAAAGCCCTCAAAGGTGTCCAGGTTTGGTCCAGACTGAGTGACAGTGACCTGTTGGGTGGAGTACTGAAGACTGTCCTGATGGAACACAGTGTAGAGGTAGTTGAACACAGTCAGGTACTCAATCTGCTCAGGGGCACTGTCAGACTCAATGCTGCTCTCAATGTCTCCTGATGGTGACTCATCAGTGATGGAGGTAGGTTGAGTTGTGGGCTCAGTTGCAGGCTCTGCTGTTGTTGGAGCTTCAGAACTTTTGCTGGGTGGTTCCTTGGTTGGAGTTGGGGTAGTGGATCTCACTCTCTTGAGCTGTTTGGTAGTCAGGCTTTGTTGAACATCTATGGCTGCAGCAGACACTGAGTCAGATGGAGTGATTGACTTCCTGGTGTCTGCAGAGCGACCTCTGTTGAGTCTCAGGACATTTGTCCTGGAGTCTGAACGCCCTCTGGTCCTTATTGGGGCTTTAGTTGCTTCAGAAGTAGGCTTTTCAGTGACTGTTTCTTCCTTGGCTTCCTCATCACTGGACTTTTGGGTTTGATCTTCATCAGGTTTCCCACGCAATCTGTTGATTATGGCTCTGTTTTGAGTCCTGCCAATGGGTTGCCGAGTTCTGACAATTGGGGACTTTTGCGGTTGTGGTTGTTGTTGTTGTTGCTGAAGAGCCTTTTTTGGAGTTGGTCGCACTCTGCTTCTGGTGTGGCCAGGGCGGCGCCCTCTGCTGACCTGGACATTAGATTTCTCTGTGGTAGATGTCGCTTGTGCAGAATTGAAAAGTCGACCAACTCTTGTTCTGGTGAATGGAACAGACTCTGACGGTTTTTCTGTTGTTGAACTGCTGGTTGTCTCTACTTGGGCAGGAATTTCTTTTTCTTGTTGTTCTTCCAATGTTTTTTCTTCAGATTTTGGAAAAGATTCTTGTTTTTTAGTGACTGAAGATGATGTTGATTTGACTCTGGCAGGACGAACTTTCGGGATGTCAAAGATGCCCAATGGCAGTTGCTCAGAGTCTTCTGAAGGATCAGCCTGCTGGAAAAGTCTGTTTGGACTTTTGCGCGGTGTTGATTGCTTCCTGCTGGTGGGCTTTTCCTCAGGGTTTTGTTTCAATGAACTCTCCTTGATTTCAATTTGGGGGAACTGGAATGAAAGAGGATTGGCTTCAAATGCCTCAGTGGCTTCAATCACTGGAACTGGTTTGTGTCCTCTGAGGTTGGGTTTGTTGCCAGAAGGTGCAGTTTTTGGCACAGACTGCTGTGTCTGAACTATGGGGATCCAGTCATTGGATCTGAAGCTTGACTTATTGTTATTGCTTGGCTTATTCTGCTGCTGCTGTTTTGGCTCTGGTTCAAAGTTTTCTCCAAATTGCTGATTCTTCCCTGGCCATTCCCAGTCGCTTTCCTGAAGAGGCCACTGGTCATCCAAAAATGCCTTTGGCTTTTTGCTGGCACTCTTTTTCCTGGGAAGCTCAAAGAAAGCAGCTTCTGCAGGAATGTCTGGCACTAGGCGCTTAGTTTCCTGAACATTGATATTCCCTTCATCATCAGTGAATGTTTCAGTCACAGATGAAGGGACCAGGAATGCCTGGATGTGTTGGAGTTGCTGAATAGATGCAATTTGATCAGCAATTTGCTTCCTTTGCTGCCTGAGTCCTGGAACCTGGAAAACTGGTTTCTCTTGCCAAAGTCCCCCTTGAGCACTTCTTGGCTTCCTGCTGAGTGGGGGCAGTTCAGCGGGGCCTGCCAATAAAAAATGATTCTGACTGTGGTTTTCAGCAGCTTCTGCTTGAGTCATGGTTTCCCCATCAGGATTCAGGTACTCTGAAATGTCCTGAAACATGCTCTCCAGGGACTTGGTGGCATGAGTGATTTCATTGGCAGACACATCATCATCCATGGCTGACTGCAAGTACAAATCCATGTCTTCCAGCAGCAACTCTGCTGGGGTGTCATACTGGTAAGCCTCAAATTGGATGTTCTCCTTCACTGGGCCATTTCCAGAGTAGATGGCTTCTCTCTTTCTGATCTTCTGCTCAGTTGGATCCAGCACCAGGGTTGACAACACAGTGGAAAACTCTCCAGGGTGCTTTCCAGAGAGGAACAGTGTGACCACACTGGTTTTGGCAGGGTTTATTTCCACAGCAGAAGCAGCCACTGATGAGGGCTTTTCCACAATGGCTTCCACAGTGCTCTCAATCTGTGATGGCTGAGGCTGGGGGGCTTCAGTAAACAGAGGAATGGCCTGCTTGAGCTTTTCCAGTTGCTGGAGTTGAAGTTGCTGCAGCTGCCTTTGTTGTTCTTGTTGCTGGAGCAGTGCTGGGGCAAGAGCTGGCAGGAGTAAATTCTGGAACTGGTTATTGAGTCCTGGCAGTTGTCCAAATGCCTGAGTAGTCTGCTGCACTTCCACAGAGAAGGTTTTGAACTCAGTTGCAGTTATGACCTCTTCCACAGCATTCACAATGGTTGTCTCAATCTTCCTTCCTCTGAGGATGATTGGGATGACTGTGCTGTCAGTCTTTGTCAAGGTGGTCACATAAGTGGAAGTCTCAGTCCTGATGCTGTTGGAAAATGCCTGTTGAGGGCTCAAAGGATTCAGCACTTGCTGCAGAGGATTCTGCTGCTGGTTCACCTGGCCCAAGAGCAACTGGGACAGCAGGTCAGCAAGGCCAGCTGTGGGGTCACTATGAGTGGACACAGTCTCAGACACAACATAGGCAGTGTGTGGCACAATGTGAGATGCAGACGTGCTCCTGCCCCTGATGACAGTTGGTGTGAATGTCACACTGTCAGTGATGCTTGGAGTGGCAAAGTACTTGGTGATCTCTGTGACCCCTGGCGACACCTGGTGACTCGATTCACTCAGAAGCACAGTGAAGGATCCTCCCGCCACTTCAGTTGCTGTGTATTGACCAGGATCCAGCACCTCGAGACTAGGACTGGCTGTTATGACCTCTTTCAAATGAGTGGCTCCATTGTGCACTATGGGGATAGTGGCAGCCATTGGGATGTGATGCGTGACTGTGATCTTGCCCTCTGGCAAAACAGGGCCCGAGATTTCCGGCACAAGTTCAGGAGACGTGTCCGCGTAATCATCATAGTAATCATAGTCCTGCTGGTTGGCGAAGGTGTTGAACCTGTTTCTCTGACTGGATGGGGTGAAACGTCTGCCGGTCTGGAGTCGGCCCTGGGTCAGGGACCTGACTGGAGTGCTGCTGGGACTCACGGGGGTCTTGTTGTTCCGAACTCGGGACCTACTCGGGAACCTCTGGGAATCAGTCCCGACTATGGACTCAGTGGTTGGACGTCTGAACCGTTGTCCTCCTGAGGCCGGGCGTCCCGATGGCGTCCTTGTGGTATCTGAGGGTCGGCTGTTGATGCTTGGGTTACTGGTTTGTGACCTGATGCCAGCAGCTGCGAGTCTTTGCCTGTTTCTGCGGAGTTGCTCGAGGCGACGAGCCGTGAAGGAATCGGGTTCGGAGGCCAGAGGCAGGGTCTGAGGCACGTTGGAACCCGCTGTGGCAATCTTTTGCCTGCCTCTGGACCTAGTGCCAAAGTCGATCTGGCGTTTGTCTCTCGTCTGATGCATCGACAATATATCGTCTTCACCGTCATTTCCTTCTTCTGATTTCGGCACATCTTCTTCTTCTTCTTCAGTCCACAAAAGTCTTCTGCGTGGCAGACCCCGGCTTTGGTACCTGAATGAAGGCACTTGGTAGGACTCCCCAACAGCGAGTTCTTGCGGCTGCTGCTGCTGACTTTCTTCATTATTATTGCCACCAGAGGATTGGCCTCTCAGTCTGGAGAGGAAATCCCGACTGGGAAACAGTTTCCCTGTCCTGGGTCTCCTGGTTACTCTGAATTGAGGAGAACTTCTGATGGCGGCTGGAGGAGGAGGAGTTTCATCACGTCTCAGCGGGCTATTTATCGGTCTCTGGAAATTTCCAGAAACAGGGGCCTGACTGTTGCTGGAAGCTGTTGTGCCAATGCTTTCAAGCAGTGGAGCCTCTGAAGAGTCTGTGACACCACCACTGTCTTCCTTGATGGGTATTGCTGGTGCTTGTCTGGTGGTGGTGGTGGTGGTGGTGCTGGTGCTGCCACTGCTGATACCACGAGACCTTTGAAGCAAGTCCAATAGTTTATTGTTGGACGTGGGTCTGGTGCGTCTTGGAGGAGGGTTGCTGATGGACACCAACAGAGACTCTGTGGACTTTTCTTCATTGGTCAAGGTGTCAATGCTGTTGCTTTCCACAGACTCTGAAGGAGGCTCAGCTGGTGCAACAGGGTTTCCAGAGTCACTGGATGATGGTGTTGGGGAAGGACTGGCTGAAGTGGGAGCAGGTCTGCCAAACAAGGGACGCCTGCTGGGGAACAGGGGTCTCCTGGTGGGAGCAGTGTTGATGGGACTGGTTATTGGTGCCCTGGAGAAGCCCACACCCCTGCGACCCCCGGCACTGCTGGTAGTGCTGGACAATAAGACTGATGGAGATGCTGAAGAAGAGCCAGATGATGGCCTGAAACCTGCTGTTGAAGCCCTGCCTGGTTGGAACCCTGGTCTTCTGATGCTGTTGCTGCTGCTGCTGGCCTTGGGAGACCTGGTGAAGAGTCCACTGGTTTGCACTGGGGTTGCCACCACTGTGGGTCTCACACTGGTCCTGGTGATGATGGCTGCACTGGTGGAAGACTCGAGTTTCTTCCTGGGGACGAAATTGGGCCTGGTCCTGGCCTTGAATGGCCTGATGATGGGCACAAAGGTCTTGGTCCTCTCTGGGTTCTTCAGCCTGTCCCTGACTGACACACTCTCTTCACTGGCAGGCTCAAAGGGTGTGGTCACTTGTTCAGCATCCTCTTCCTCCTGACTGGCTTGCAGTTCAGGGACAGATGATGATGATGATGATGTGTCAATGACTGATGCTGTTTGAGTGGTCAGGCTTTCCTGATGACTGCCAATGGATGAGGTGCTGTGCACAATCTGCGCATAGGTTCCATCAATGAGGGTCCCAATCACAGATGACTCATAATGTGTGGTCTCTTCTCCCCTGACAATGGAGCCTTCAATCAACCTCACCAGCCCTGTTTTCAGAGGGCCTTCTTGATCATCCACTGGAGCTGCTGCAGTGTCCACCACAACACTGGAGGTGCTTTCAATCACTTGGGCATACAGTTGGCCAATGAAGGTTCCAATGGCCTTTGTGGTGAAATGGGTGGTGGTGGCTCCTTCAATAATGCTGCCAATGTTGACTGAAATGATGCCTGTGACAGAGCTTGGAGCAACAGAGGCTTCCAGTGCAGGTGCTGCAGAACTGGCAACTTCAGGGATGATGTTGCTGCTGCTGGTGCTGCTGCTTGATGACTCAGCTGAACTGCTTGCCAACTCTGTCAGAACATTGCTCACAACTTCCAGCCTGCTGTCAACCAAAGTCTCTTCACCATCATAGGAAGTTGTGAAATAAGTGTAGGTTGTGTAGTAGGTGACCACAGTTGAGGTCATTTCTTCCTTTGCAGAAGTGGCAATGATGTCAGGAAGGTCTGATGCCAGAATGGGATCATTTTTGATGACAGATTCAGATGCTGGTGTCAGCTGTGCTGAGGCATCTTGAACAGTGGCAGAAGGCTGGACAACATTTGTAACAGTTTCCTCACTGGTTGAAGTGATGAGCTCATCTCCTTGTTTGAAGGTGTAGTGGTAGGTATAAGTGGTGTAGTAGGTGATGGGCTGGTTCTTTGCAGGTGTAGCAGCAACAGCTGAAGCATCTGGCTCAGTCACTGCCACTGTCACAACATTGGTTTCAGTCTCCTCATTGCTCAAAACACTTGAGGTTCCAGACCTGAAGAAGGTGGTGAAATAGGTGAATGTGGTGTAATAGGTCTTTATGTACACATCAGCATTCTCTTCTGTCACTTCAGTGGGAGTTGGCTCAATCCCAGGCTCTGTGATGGTTCTCTCAGTGGACAGTAACACTGCATCTTCTCCAGACTTCCCAGGCAACACCTTTCCTTCTTCTTCTTCTTCTTCACCTTCAACAGGGACAGTGGTCATGACCCCAGAGGCCATGGTGATGTCTCCATCCACCACATTGGTGAACATCTCTTTGAATTTGCTCACAGTTGTGCTTTCACCATCAATCAATGTTGTCAAGTAGGTGTAAGTAGTGGTGAGTGTGGTCAGTTCTGGAGCACTTTTGCTGCTTGACAATAATTCCAGACTTTTTCCTGAGGGTACTTGTGCCCTGGTGGGCTTCAAAGTGTCCACAGGCACAGGAGATGTTTCCAGGGGCTCATCAGTGGTGACCTCAGTCTCCTTGTCCTCTTCCTCAACCAACAAATACCCATTGGTAGTCACCACATTGGAGTACACCTCAGTGTGGCTAGTGACTGAAGTTGTCTGGTCACCAAACAAGGTAGTGAAGTAGGTGTAAGTTGTGTAGTATGTCTTCAGGAGGGTCTCCACAAATGAGCTCAGCAGTCCATCAGTACCCTTGATGACTGGCTTTCTCTTGCTGGCAAAATCTGGCTCCCCTGGTGCAACATTCAGCTGGTTTGAACCATCATCCAGTCCCTGTCTGCCTTCATTTTCTCCCTTCAAAGGCACCCTCATGGTATTGGACACCACTTCAGTCCTGGATGAAATGGATGAAGATGACTCCCCAAAGAAAAATGTAGAGAAGTATGTATAGGTGGTGTACAGAGTCCTGAGCAGGTATTGTTCTTCTTCTCCTTCTGGAAACTCCAAGGAAGGCTGGAGGGTTCCTTCAGTGACAGGCTCCTCAGTGGTGGTAACGCCAGCACTCAACAACAGGTTCTCAGTAGTGACACCTTCTTCTTCTTCCAGAACCACACTCGGTGTTGGCACATGGTCTTCCCCAATCATAGATGTCACCACTGTCTCAACAAAGCCCTCAGACGTGCTGGTCTCCTTGTGCGAGTTGATGGAGGTCCTGGTGCTGGTGCCCTCAGGGACAAAGAAGGTGGTGAAATAGGTGAATGTGGTGTAGAAGGTCTTTGGCACCAACTGGGTCACCAGGATGACACTCTTGCTCTTCTCCCCACTGCCTTCCACTATGGTTTGTGCCTCAGTTTCTGAGCCCACAGAGCGTCCGAGGTCAACAGCACTGATGATGGGTTCTTTCCTGATGATGCTCTGATCCTCCTCCTCCTCGACGGCAGATGTCGCTTCTTTCGGCGGCTCCTTGACCAGGTAGTAAATGCTGGACGTGCTCTGGACTATTTGCGCGTAATTGCCTTCGATGAAGGTGCCGTAGACCAGAGTGGTGAAGAGCGTCGTCACTCCTTTGTGCCCGACAGTGCCACTGATGGACGTGACGAGTCCCGTGGGGAAGGCTTGGTCTTCGTTGAACACTTTCGTGATGGCTGTCGAGAACAAGGGCTCGGGTTCGAGCACTGGAGAGGCTTCGATGACGACAGCGTCATCTGTCGACGACTCGTCCAACGATGACGGCGTCGCTGTGATGCTGCCCTCTGTCGTCGTCGAGGAGTTGTCATCGAGGTTTTGCAGCGCGTCGACGTCGTCATCGATGCCGCCGTCGTCGTCGACGTTGTTATTCGGCAGCAATTTCCCGCCCCTCTGTCGCGTTCCTACTACAAATGTCGACATTGACTTCTCGTGAGTGACAGTGTGACCACGGACCGTCTCTGTCATCATGCCTGGCTCGTGGTGCAAAAAGGTCCTGGTGTCGCGAACGACGCCGACAGCACTGCTGTCGTCGACGTCGTTCTTCTTATTATTATCGTCATTCGATGACTCCTTTTGCTTTTCGGAAGGCGTGATTTTGATGGATTCCTTGACGTCGTCGCTCAGCTCTTTCCGCTGTCGTTCCTCCAAAACCGACCTCGGCATGAAGATGACCTTCGTTCCTAGAATAGTCGTGGTGAAATCGACGAATCCGAGATACGTCACCGACGGCAACCTCGTCGCGAGTTGTCCCGCAGTGACACCCGATGCGACGGCAGCAGTCGACGGAGGAGGAGGCGATTCCAAATCCGGTCGAATGAGTCGGACTCCTTTGAAATTTCGAGCCTCTCTCGACGGCGTCGATGATTTTTCCGTCGTCGTCGTCGGCGTCGTTGGAGCAGCATTAGTAGTAGTGTCGTCCTCTTCGGCGATTTGTTCCTTGAGGGATTTCCCGCCAGCAGCGACAGTGAATGTCGGCAACCCCTTGACCTCTAACACTGGCGTCGGGTCAACGATCAAGACCTGTTCTCCAGAGTCTGCCTTGCGGCCCTTCGGCGCGTCGGAGATTTCATTGATGCCCACGTCATCGTCGTTGTCGTCGTCGTCGTGGGATTTTCTCGACACATGGGGACTCGGGAATCGGTAGACGGTGTCCTGGTTCCGCCAGAACCCGGCGCCACTCGACCGCACTTCCGTGGACGCCACGACGTCGCCGATCGTCAGCGTCATCATGACTGGCTGGAAATCCGTGTCGACAGACCCGTCGAGCTCAATGACGTGATCATCGTCGTCGTCGTCATTATTCGAGGATTCCACGAGGACTCCGTGGGCCTGTCGACCATTTATAACAGCGACGCCCGGAATGACTCTCGGAGGTGCCTTATTTCGCGACGACGACGCTTTGGCCACAGGGATTTTCACCTGCACCCCGTCCAAATGATCCACGTCCAGAAAAATCCTCGACGACAATTTGTCGGGCTGAACAAAGACGCTGTGCTCAGTGTCGCGCGATGTCACCGGCTCCCCGATGACACGCGTCGTCAGGGGCTGGATGGAATTCCCCACGTAAAACGCGTACGTCGTCGAGTCAGTTTCGTAGGTGCCGGTGACGAGGTTCCTGGTCGTCACCCCACGACCCCCGGGTTTGCCCCTGACGACTTGCGCCGACGCTGCTGGCACAATCACGACGCGTTTCGACACTTGCGGCGGTGTCGGGGTTTGGAACACGCTGCCGGATCGCAGGTCCTGGAACTCGAGCGTCGACACTGTCGCTGTCGCCGACGTCGTCGTCGCAGCATCAACTGGAAACACCGTCGAATAGCTCGACACCAACTGCGCATACTTGCCGTCAATATAAGTTCTGTAGTAATCCGTGGCGAAGGCGGTTGTGACGTCGTCTCGGACGAGTGTCGATCGCACACTCGACACCAGGCCCGTGGGTCGAATCGAGTCGAGGAAGTCAGCTGCCGCGGGGTCCACGACGACGTCGTCGTTGTCGTCGTCGTCGATTTCGTAGAAAACCCGGGACCCCGTGCTCATGATTCTCGCGTATCTGTCGTCGTCGAGCACTGTGCCATGGATCTCTGTCGCGTACTCTGTCGTGGTGCCAGCTGCGTTGATGAAAGTGGCGGCTGTCGACGTGAGGAGTCCGGTTTGACGCACGCGTCGAGAATCCGACGGGTAAAGCGTCGTGGTTTCTTGGCCGTTGACGATCACTTCCAGCTCTGGTGTTTTTTTGCGTTTGTTTGTTTGTCGAGAGTTGGGTGTTTTTTGCATCACGTGACGATGATGAGGGGATAAAACGCGGAGAGTGGAAAAAAAAGGACAGGGTTCGGAAGACGATCGGAGGACAGTTTCCGGAAGAAGGAGTTTCGGGGAAAAGTGACAGAGGGTGGAAGAACAATCGAGATACATTCAGTGCAATGGAAAACAAAAACAGTCAACAAAGAAGAAGAAGAAGAAGAATAAATCAAATTCAACAATTAATTTCCAATACAGTACAATACATATTTTTAAATTTATCTTTTTCGAAAAAAAAAACATTCGAGAGGGCCTCAAAAGTCTCGTGGTTCAAAGGAAAATATCCTTTTGAATGGATCGCTTTCTATAAATTCATACTCGGCTCATGAAAAAAAAAATGCATAACAGTCAGCATAGAATAAGAACACCAAATTTAATGTACAGTATTTGCAGATTCATCGAGCCATGACTAATTTTGCAATGTTTTTCGAGTGGTGTTACCAACCTCAACTTTCACATAAGCTGGTCGGGACTAAAATCTCACATCTTCAGCCTGCTTCAATAAACAGGTACTTGTGATATTTTTTCATGAACATTTCTCTATTTCTGCGATATTTAAAACAATTGAAAAATTTCCCGACTTTGAACACAGCTGACGAAGATAATACAGATGAAAAAAAACCATGGGAGTTTTTGAAAGCATCTTCGGACAAGTGACAACTCAAATTCAAAAATCTCGAACAAAAGTGGAAAATGTATCTTCAAATTTCTACCTCATTTTTCACCTAGATAATTAACATCATATGAACTTTAATTAATTTATAATCACGACTAAACTTTAGCTGTTCGTAAAGTTACGCTTCAAAAAAGTCGAGAATAAAATTTGAAAGAAAAAAAATCCCCGGTTTTATTCGCTCACGACGAACAAGTTTGTTTATTTTTGGGAAATCCCAGGTGTCATTTTTTTTTCTTTATTCAAACGATCCAAGTAAAAAAATGAACAAACAAAATATAATTCCGCAGATAATTTCTGCTAAACGGCATGCGAAAATATTTCATTTGAAATATACACCCCTGGCTTCATTCGCAAACATGGACATTTTCTCGAGACTTTCGAGACACCCCACGAATCATTTTTTTTAGTAAAACGATCAAAGTAGAGAAAAAAATTGACAGATCATAATTCCGTAGATTTTTATTTTTTTGCTGAACGGCATGCGAAGCACTTTCAAAAAGAGTATCGATAGGCTTCATTCCCCTTCTTTCGTGGCCCATAAGCATAAATCAAAAGGATCGTGCGATCTAAAGATGCCTGTCTTCTTCCTTTTTTTTTTTTTGCTTTCGATTTTTTTTGCGAGCCAATAAAAAAAGCAAAGCGTGCTTCTGATGGGCAACAGATCAGTTTGTGCAGAATAAACTCGAAGAAAACTTTCAGTTTTTTTTTTTTACTGACCTGGAACTGCGCCTCGTTTCCGACGTTCGATGATGGTTTGCAATTCGCCGTCTTTCGGGCAAATGTACGTGTTCTTGTCAATGGCCACTTCAGGCGGAGGAAAAAAAAGTACGGAACAGATTTTCGGTTTAAAATTGAAACGAAACTGGATGTTTTGAAAAAAGAACAAAAAGGAAATGTTGCTCACTTTCGTCAGAACCTTCGATGCAATCCACGATTCCGTCACCGACGAACTCTTGGTCCAAGCACCGGGGATATCCGCAAAGACACTCATGCTGATGCGACTCACACACTAAAACAAAAAGAGAGAGAGAGAAGGAATCAATTAATAAATTAGCACAGTCGGAATCATTCAGAGTAAAAGTCTAATTCCTTACTACAGGTAAAATATTTTTAAAACGAACTTTACGTGACCTACTTGGAAATTCGTCGTAAAAAATATTTTATTCATAAAATTGGTACACAATTTAGAATTTCTTCTGAAATCAATTCATCTGAGTGTGGATTTTTCAGGTCATATCGAAAAAGTATTGAGAAAATCAATGAAGTTCGTCAGTACAATAAAGCAAAAAAAATGTGCCACAACCCACAAAAATAAAGGCAAAAACCTTTCCCCATTGAAAATATGATCCTCGACCCGAAAATTTCCAACAAAATAAATTTGCAATATCATTCTGAGTAGCATTTATTCACCCTGCCGGGAGTACATGTTGATTCAGAATTCCCAACTCTAAACAGATATTCAGAAAACATAGGAGAAAATTTTATAAATGTTGAAAACTGGCTAGAAAAAAATAGAAGTTACGGTTCGACAAATCAATTTTCTGCAAAAAAAAAATCCTGAAAATTCGCTGGAACGAGATTTCACAACTTCATGTCTCAATTTTTCTGCGGTATTCTCTACAAAAAGTGTATCGTAATGAATAATTTGTTATACAATATAAACTCGTTACAACGAATGTCGTCATAAAAAAATTCATTCTCGCCACGAATTGTTTTATATAGCTGCCAGTCCAAAAGCCACAATGCTATTTTCACTTCATTTGACCGAATTTTAGATTACAATACAGTTCAGTACAAAAAAAGAGCTTTTTTTTGAAGTATACCAAAGTCTTCGTTGTCTCGAGATTCTAATGTACCTCCAGATGGGTTTCTCATTAATTAATTTGCCATGCATTTCGTTTTCTTGCATTCATTTCACATTAAGTCCAGGCTCAAAGAGTTCAAAAAAATCCCAACGAAATAATTGTGAGGATGATTATTTTCAGGCATAAACATGTGCTTTTTATGATCAAACACCTCATACGGCAACATTCATAAATGCTGAAGACAATAATTTCTGCCTGAGAAATATTGTAATTTTCGCAATCAGAAAAAGGAAATGGCTCTAAATTCGCACGAATGAAGTCATTCAGTAAAATACTTCCGGATTCGACTCGAGGCCTGCGAATTTATTCTCCGGCGGGATGCAAAAAAATTGCTTCCAAACAAATTTACGAAACTTTTATTCCGAGAAAAAAACAAAAGATCCTAAACGTTTCGTCCACATGGCTGTACATTCAGCAGGTCATGATTACAGTCTATTAAATTTATCGAGTATCCCACACATATTCCCCCCCCCCCCCCCCCCCTCCCCCC